AAAATGCTGGATATTCCTATCTGCATGCACAAACTTGAACTGACTTACTTGGTTGTGGAGACTATACTAACTAGACATCCCCTGATTCTTCCCAAGCAATCTAGACTTCTATGCCCTTTCAAGATGCCATGTGAACAGAAGGACTGATTCTTGCAAATAGTTAAATATTACTAGCAACTCCCACAACACCTTAGGGACCCTTAAAACTTTGGAGGTTTCCTCTAACTAATATTGATGTGTGAGAAACTATAGCTTCTAGTCGAATGTTTCAGGGGACTTACTCATCAATCTAACTCGCCCAAAGTGTTGGGCATTTGACCACATCGTAACCCAAAGCTCAAATTCTCACATATCCCCAAATACCATTGGCCAACAAAATGCTAAGAGAAATAGTGAGAATGATCTTAGCCCTGCTCCACAAAGGTGGCAGTACAACAATTACAAAGATTTACAGACCGACAGAACTAACATTCCACGTAGAAAGCTTCCCAACAAACAGAACACAAAGAATAATAGTAAACAAAATAAAGTCTGAGGCGGCTACAGTGAAAAGCTTTGTTACATAAGGCATAGTTCTCGCTCCCATCCTGTTCTACATCCTCATATCTGACATAGACAGAGATGTATGCCACAGCACCGTGTTTTCTTTTGTGGATGACACCCGAATTTGCATGACAGTGTCATCCATCGAAGAAAATTTTAATTAATCCAATATGGAAACTAGAGGAAATTAAAACTGTATCGGAGTATAAAACAAATTCCAAGCACACAATAAAGCGAAAAGCTAATGTGAAGGACCTAGGAGTGATATTGCCATAGGATCTCATTTTCAAAGATCACAACACCGTATCTACCATATCTGCTAGGAAAAATGATAGGATGGATAATGAGAACCTTCAAATCTAGGGATGCCAAGCCCATGATGATTCTCTTCAAACTTCTTGTACTATCTAGGCAGGCGAAATTGCACACCTCAAGAATGCACAGAGAACTTTCATGGCATGTATAAGTATGATAAAGCACCTAAATTACTGGGAACAGTTGAAGTCCCTTGATCTGTATTCCCAGGAATACAGGTGAGAAAGATACATGATAATGTACACTTGAAAAATCCTAAAGGGACTAGTCCCAAAATTGCACGAAAATCACTCCCTACGAAAGCAAAAGACCTCGGTAGGAGATGCAACATCCTCCCAATGAAAAGCAGGGGCGCCAAGAGTATGCTAAGAGACAACACAATAAGTGTCAGGGGCTCAAGATTGTTCATCTTCCTGCGGTTATAAGCAGGCACACGCCCAATACTTTGGTGAGTTAGATTGTTGAATAAGATTGCTGAAGGCAGCGTGGAGTCAAGATCTCTAGGAGTTACCAACTCAGGTACCACACTGTCTTCAAAATACCTCCTGGAGATCATCTAGGCAGCTTTCCAATGTACTGTGGATAGTCGTCTCTTTTTAGACCTCCTTACCTGGAGAATATCTGGAGAGGGTTTCGGGGGTCAACGCCCCCACGGCCTGGTCTGTGACCGGCCTTGCGGTGGATCAGGGCCTGATTCTAGCGCATTTTACTCCAATTTCTCGTAGTCTTATCTTAACTTCACTTATATCAGCACCAACTCACACTATTCAACTCTGTAAAGTGAAAGTTTCGTGCACATACCTCCATAATCACAGGCGTGGTAGAGCGAAATAGGAGGACAACTTTGGCAAGATATGCCCACTCTGAGTTCTGGAAAGGCACTGATGTATTTACACTCCACTCAGATTACCCATTGGCCTTTGATTGATCTCCAAAGAAAGAGGATACTATTCTATTCAACCAAGATCAAGATCAAGAGAGTTTAGGAAGGACCCTTGTGAGCTGAGCTGGGAAGACGGGACAGGCGAAGAATAGCGTTGAAGAGGAGTGTCCACAGTCGTAAAGAAAGTGCCAGGGCTTAACCCAGAAGCTAGGCGCTCGTGGAACAGACTGGAGAAAGAGGAGGAGCAAGCTGAGAATGAGAATGCATCGGTCTGTGTTGGTAGGAGAGCTGATTCTTGGGTAGCTTGCAGCAGGCTTAGTCACAGGAGGGGTGGCAGGTGGGGGACAACAGAGGCAGCTCAGTTGTAGGTGTTATTTAACGTGGAACATTTGTAGAGGAGCCGTTCTCAAACTTCTTGAAGTTGGTTCTGGAGAGATGGTACAGTTTTTTTTTTTTTTACCAAAAGTAAAACAGAGTGGTTTGATTAACTCAGAACTTGGGTAAGATTGAAATGATGTGGAGTCTCACAAGCAAATTTAACAGACCCAAAACAGAGCCCTTTGTACAGTTCTATGAAAGTCATGGTGTCCTCATTTGAAGATGTGTAAAAAGTCAGGTTGTCTCAAGTAGGTGAACTGATGCAGGAGTCTTCATCATCTTCCTCCTTTTCCTCAGAAGAGATATAGAGGGCGGGTTTACAATGGTAATGGCAGGAGACTGGGTTGGCAGGAACAGTGGAGAGGTGTATTGGTGGTGTATCAAAAGGTTGGGAGTCGAGGGAGGTGGTGGTTGAAGTAGAATAAACAGTGTTGTCGGCCGTGGAAGTGGTTGTACAAGTTTCAGGAACATTTGCTTGGGCAGGAGACAAGTCTGCAGGTGCAGTAAAGTTCGCGACGTTAGTGAGTAATAGGCTCAAATATTTTTTTACGGCTGAAGAAAAGAATTTATAGGCGCATCAAAAGAGAGAGGGTCATCTTTTGAATCAGTATATTGACATTAAGAGGGACGTTAAAAAGGGGATAAGAAAAGCTAAATGGGACTACGAAATTAAAGTTGCTAGGGATTCGAAAACTAACCCAAAAAGTTTTTTCCAGGTTTTTAGAACAAAAGTTAGAGAAAAGATAGGTCCCCTTAAAAATAACTCTGGGTATCTTACTGTCAAGGAGAATGAAATGTGCTCTATTTTTAATAATTATTTTCTCTCGGTTTTCACTCAGGAAGACACTAGTAATATCCCAATAATTAGGTTTTATAGTGGGCATGAAGAAGATAAATTATGTAATATCACAGTCACTAGCAAAATGGTTATCAAACAGATAGACCAATTGAAGCAAAATAAATTCCCTGGCCCTGATGAACTTTTTTCAAGGGTTCTTAAAGAGTGCAAAATGGAACTTTGTGAACCTTTGACTAATATTTTTAATATTTCTCTTCAAACAGGTGTAGTGTCTGATGATATGTGGAAGATGGCCAATATAATTCCTATTTTTAAAGCAGGAGACAAGTCATTACCATCAAATTACCGCCCAATAAGCCTGACCTCAATTGTAGGCAAATTACTACAGTCAGTTTTAGCTGGTATGATAAGAAGCCATCATGATAAGCATGATTTGATTAATGATACTCAGCATGGATTCATGAGGGGCCGTTCCTGACTAACTAATTTATTAACATTCTTCAGTAAAGCTTTTGAGGCTGTTGATCACGATAAAGAATTCGATATTGTTTATTTAGATTTTAGTAAGTACTGCACCAGAGACTGTTAAAGAAAGAGGCAGCTCATGGCATCGAGGGAAAAGTGCTGTCATGGATCGAGCTCACGAACAGGAAGCAGAGAGTGTGCATAAATGGGGTTAAAACGAGTGGGGATCTGTAACAAGTGGCGTGATGAGTGAATTATTAGAGATATGAGCAAATTCGCTGATGACACGAAGATAGGTAGGATAATTGATTCAAACGTGGATGTCATGGAACTTCAGGAGGATTTAGACAAACTCAATTCCTGGTCAGAAAAGTGGCAGATGCAGTTCATTGTAGATAAATGCAAGGTTCTGAAGCTCGGGAGAGTCCATAACATTACAAATCTTTTCTTAGAGCATTGCTTCCATCAGGAAGCGGTTGCCTGACTTACATCATATTAGTGCAACCAAGAATATTGTTGTCATCTGTTTGCAGGAATGTAGCACTTATAAGTTAAATAATATAGAACGTAGCCATACAGATTGCGAAAAAGGCTTGGGGGATATGGTAAGCAGCAACCTTAAACCAAGACAGCAGTGCGTACGCGTGCATAATAAACCTAATAGGTTACTGAGATTTATATCAAGAAGTGTAAGCAACAGAAGTCCAGCGGTTATATTACAGCTTTATACATTATTTGCAAGAGGAAACGGTATGGTGATACCGACAAGATGTGGAAAAAAGACACTTATGTACAGTTCATGACAGTTTTAAAGGAAACGTTTCGCCACTAACGTTTCGCCCTAATACAGAGAAAACTAAGAAAACGCGTATATATACATAAGTAGTTGCAGGAGTCAGTAAGTGTCAGTGATGGTGGTATGGATAGTATATAGTACAAGGAACTAAGGTGGTGGGAGCTAAGAGACTGTTCTACACGTACGCAGTTTCCAGAATGGGTAATATCTGTTATTAGATTTGAGATACGTAATACGGATTGATTTTAGTGTTACTGAATCAATTAGGCAGTTTCTATGGTTCCGTCTAATCGTCTCATTAATCACCTTTAGCCTCATGATTTCATGAGGTGTCCAACGTCGTCCTATATGACACACGCGTTTTACGGTCAAATTTCTGCAGCATTTTTGTGTTCGGTAAGAATAGATTTCGTTTCGGATTTGTTAACACCGGAGGGTTATTGACTACAGTGATAACCCAAGAAATCAGTCGTCATCGAGGACTGTCTAACTATTTTCATTGGTCCTTAATCTGTCTCAGATGCACCACCAGTCGACTACACCAGACCTATTTCATGCTAGGTGAACAGGACAACAGTTAGGAAAACGTTCGAATTTTTCACCGCGGAATCGAACCGGCCCTCCTGTTGAAGCGAGTTTAGCCACCAGGCACCGTCCACCGTCCACCGGTGAACCTAATGTCCAGAGATCTGGAGGAAACAACTAGACGGTAACGTTTTTAGTGACTGGAATTTCACCTATGTCTAAGCTCCTTCTCCATAGTATATTTAGGGAACGTGAAAAGGGTTTCTTGCAGTTCTTAATGAACACAGAGTTCCACGAGTCTGGGTCTGGGGCTGAGTGCATGGGCTTGTTATCAATGGCTTTCTCTGTGTCTATCGGAGTTAGGATACTCTCGGAAATTTGGCATACATTGATGGAGTTTTGAGGTTCATTCATGAAAAAATCAAATGGGTTGTCGATCATTAGACTGATTAGTGGCTCGCTAAACACAGAGTCGTATTGGGATTTCAGTTTCTCACTCATTTCTTTGTTGTCATCTGTGTAAGTCCCATCTTGTCTGAGCAAGGGCCCGATACTAGATGTGGTATTTGCCTTGTTTTTGGTATATGAAAATAAATATTTCGAATTTCTTTCAATTTCACTAATGGCTTTTAGCTCCTCCTGTCTCTCCAGGGCCCTGTAAGAGTCCTTTAACTTAAGTTCGATACTTTCCACTTCCCTGGTCAGCGCTTCCTTCCGTGTATCAGATAATCTAGCGTTCTTGAGAAGCTCAGTGATTCTTCGTCATCTTCTGTAGAGGGACAGTCTTTTTCTCTCCAGTTTACTCTTCTTTCCTTCTTTGGCGGATATACCTTGAACATATTTCAGCTGCCAGGAAGTTGATGCTTTCAAGGCACTAGTTTGGATCCATGTTAATTAAGATATCTACCCAACATGTTTCATTTAAGACATGGTTCACCTGGTTCCAGTTGATGTTCTTGTTGTGCAAGACAGGTATACAATACCGACAAGATGAAAGTAAGGCACTTGTGCAACATCTGGTTATCTTTACTGTAGACGTTTCGCCATCCAGTGGCTTTATCAATACAGATTCTTGGACATAATAAGAAAACAGAAGAACTATATACAAAAGATGAGGTAATCAATCCCTCAGCCTTGGAGGTGGTGTTTAGAGCACCGTGGTTGCAGAGATTCTGAAGCATAGGCAAGGAGACTGGCGCTTATATAGGCGTCAGTGAATAGGGACGTGTAGCAGGACATCTGCTACACGTCCCTATTCACTGACGCCTATATAAGCGCCAGTCTCCTTGCCTGTGCTTCAGAATCTCTACAACCACGGTGCTCTAAACACCACCTCCAAGGCTGAGGGACTGATTACCTCATCTTTTGTATATAGTTCTTCTGTTTTCTTATTATGTCCAAGAATCTGTATTGATAAAGCTACTGGATGGCGAAACGTCTACAATAAAGATAACCAGATGTTGCACAAGTGCCTTCACTTTCATGATGTTCTTGTTGCTGAAGTTGTATTTTGTGTACACACCTTCACAGCTATGTACATTTTGCTGATCGGGACCCCTTTGCATGTAAGTCTGAACTTCGATTAGATTGTGATCAGAATTAGTATTTTTTTGATGTTATATTTCTTACCGGTCCCCATTATTTGTGAAGATAAGGTCAAGTGTGCTTTCCAGTCTTGTTGGGTTCACTACCTGCTGACTTCAGGTGTGTTTATACAGATATTTAGTAGTTCATGTGTGTGTGACCTTTCATGTTTGCTGCCTCCAGGGTTGTTTCTGTTATAATATTATTTACTACATTCGTCCATTATGTATGCCTTAGGTTAAAATCACCAAGCAGTAAGTTGTTTGGGGATGGAGCTGGAAGGCTTTCTAGACAGAAATCAATTTTCAGTAGCTGTTCCTTGAACTGGAGGGAAGTTGCATCTCGTGGCTTATATACAACCATAATGACTAGGTTTTGGTTATCGATCTTTATTGTTAGAACTTCAACTACATCATTTGTGGTGTTCAGCATCTCCATGCAGATGAGTGACTCTGACATACAGGCCAGCCGCCCATCCCCTTGTTGCCTGTTCTTTTTGTCGCATCTAAAAAGATTGTACCTTATTTTTTATTTTATTAACATATCGGCCAATTCCCACAAAGGCAGGGTGGCCCGAAAAAGAAAAACTTTCATCATTATTCACTCCATCACTGTCTTCCCAGAGGGTTGATTTACACTACAGTTATAAAATTGCAACATTAACACCTCTTTTTCAGAGTGTAGACACTGTACTTCCCATCTCCAGGACTCAAGTCCGGCCTGCCGGTTTCCCTGAATCCCTACATAAATGTTACTTTGCTCAGACTCCAACAGCACGTCAAATATTAAAAACCATTTGTCTCCATTCACTCCTATCAAATACGCTCATGCATGCTTGCTGAAAGTCCAAGCCCCTCTCACACAAAACCTCCTTTACCCCCTCCCTCCAACCCTTCCAAGGCCAACCCCTACCCTGCCTTCCCTCCATTACAGATTTATACACTCTCGAAGTCATTCTGTTTAGTTCCATTCTCTCTACATGTCCGAACCACCTCAACAACCCCTCCTCAGCCCTCTGAATAATAGTTTTGGTAATCCCACACCTTCCCCTAATTTCTGAACTACGAATTCTCTACATTATATTCACACCACACATTGCCCTCAGACATGACATCTCCACTGCCTCCAGCCTTCTCCTCGTTGCAACATTCATCAACCATGCTTCACACCCATACAAGAGTGTTGGTACAACTATACTCTCATGCGTTGCCCATTTTGCTTCCACGGACAAAGTTCTTTGTCTCCACAGACTCCTAAGTGCACCACTCACCTTTTTTCCCTCATCAATTCTGTGATTCACTTCATCCTTCATAGACCCATCTG